TTGACACAGAGAAGGGCAACGGAACATGCTTTTGCTGTCCTGGGGATTTGCAGCGCTCCTTCCCTCACACTGAGCTGGAAACGAATGTAAATACAGCGTTTTAGAGTTACGTGCAAGCACCTACTTAGTGTTGTATGAGATTCTACCACATGGTATCATACGTTATTTCTAAGGTCAGAGCCCTTATCTCTCATAACCATTAAAAGCAAGAGAGTGATGCAGACGCAGGAATATTTGCATCAGATTGTGCAGATTAATTTTATAGTGCTATTGTCAGTTAAGTGTTGCCCTAAACATATATGTGGCGTTTAGATACAAAGAGAAGGCTTTAGTCACAGAATTCATAATTTATGGCAATGAAACCTAGATTTTTTTGAGAGATGATGTCGGAATGAGACCAAGATCTCAAGTTCAAAATTAGTGCTTCACTTACTATGTGGCAGTCATCAATCGTGCTGGTAAAGCGATTTGTTTGCTTAAATTTTGCTATGATGCCACTTTTGGGTTTAGACTATGTGGTGGTTTCTGTCTGTTTACAGAGGGAAGGGAGTCGTCATGTTAATATTAAATATTTGTGGGTGCAAACGCTTGCATTGATGAAATAAAGATATTTCTGAGAAAACAAGACCAAGTACAGCTGAGTAAAAATTAGCAAGAGAGAAATTCTTTTAGCTACTACACCTAACTTTCTGGTTTTGTCATCTGTACGTGCACACCCACTGATAATACCTTTAAAACCAGCAGTATTCAATTAAAATTAATCACCATGTCATCCTGTGGACAGAGAAATCTGTGATTTCTGTGTCTAGGCAGTACGAGTGGTTGAATGAGGGAGATCTTAAGCAAATACTTTTTTTTTTTTTTTTTTTTTGCGAGGAGTGAAGGGAAACATTTTTAAGGCAAGGATTTTGAGCTTTTTCTAATTTGTTTAAGATTTTTTTTGATAAGTTAATTCTGCTAAATGTTACCAGCCTTCTTGCCCTGAAGAATAGTTCTTGTTGTCTTGAAGGAATAGAACCAGTGGAGGAGGAGGCCAGAGCCAAAGGGATTTTAAGTAAATAAATAAATGAACCTCCCTCCACAAATCCACAAGTGGTGCAGTGCGGCAGAGCACAAGTTGTTAAAAAATGTGTGGAGATTTTTTTTTTTTACCTCTTCTCCTCTCCTGCAGCTTTTTGCTGGAGGCACCGAGTGGCAGAGCATTTCAACGACACAATCTATGTTCTGCTGACCTGAGCTCGTCAATGCTAATTGTATGGCTTTAATTGCAAAACCACATTTGTGTTATTGAAAAGGGTTTAACTTAAATCCTTCCTTTTCAGGACTAGTGTCAAAATGTTAAAAAAAAAAAAAAGGCAAGGGAGCTGAGGGTGGCATCAGCTATCGGCACTGAATAAGCAGTGGGATGGTGTGATTCAGATTACACGTCTTGGCTGTCCGTCAGAAACCAGCTCACTCGCTACAGCTGTTGAAGGCGGGATGGGCAGGGAACTGTAGCTCCCTGATAAATACAGCTCTTTTTGTTGCACTGCTTGGGAAAAGTCTGATTTCTTTAGCATGCTGGAGAAATGGGGATTTAAGTAGCTCCTAGTCTGTGTTTACAACTGGGTTTGGCACCTCAAATTTGCATGGCGTGTGAAAACAGCACAGCTGAAAAACGGGAGAGCGCCAGGTAGTTGTCCATCCTTCCACCTCAATAAAACTGTCTGGTCAGTAGCTACTCCGAGATGGTTTTTTTTTTCCCAACCTGCAATCTGTGCTACAGAGCGTTAGGGCACAGACAGATGCTCTCGGAGCGGTCGGCAGCACGAGGAGCTGGGTTGCCCTACCCCTTCGTCGGGTGTAACTTTACAAACGGTGAGGAAACTCCTAGAGAGGGACGTCTCGTCTTTGTCTGAATGGCCACGCTTGCACACTCACGTTTATTGCCTGCGGTTGTGCTCTAGGGCATCACAGCCGGTCAGGTAAAGCATATGGTGTTTGTTAGTCCCTCTCCGTGTGTCCTTAGCCAAATGAGAAGGCAACGCTGATCTCGGCGTTCGTTTTCCCCACTCGATGTGTCACTGTTTTTCCTTGAAACAATAGTGTTCTCGTTTGGCTGCTCTTGCTGAAAAATACTTTGGTCTGATGAAGCCCGGTAGAAGATTGTATGAGCATCCTCTGTCCACCTGGTCTGATAAGTAGTTTTCAATTCATCTTTGCCGAAAGATATTGCATATGCGAGGAATTTGTTTTCTTTTGTCTGTGAGATGATCTATAGATTTTAGTAACGCGGTGGGGAAGTGCTGTTTGTCATTTAGAGAGAAGCAGAACTTGTGATGCTGCCAGGTTTTTTTTTAGCTTTTTGGTTACTTTCTACTTTATTTTCCTTCATGTGATCG